ACAACAACACATGACATATTACACCATGTCATCATTTATTTTTACAAAAATAAAGCCAAAATGGAGAAAGAGGATGTACTTCCTTTTTCACATGACTATATTTCATTATAAAGTAACAGATAGCTCAGGCAATCTACATACAACCTCACTGTAAGATTTTGTCCAATTTGCTTGTGTGTACTTGAAGCACTAGAAGTTGTTAGTCCTCTTATTGGAAATAGATGAAAGATTATCCAAATCAACCTGCAATCATTCTGCATGAGCAAGTATCTCTTGCTTGGTTTATTCATATACATGGAAACTACTTTCACCAGACTCTCAACATTCTAGAACCTGAGGGCCCTGTTACCACAGTAGCATAGGAAGAAACTACTGAGACGTTTCCACATAAAACCAGCTTCCTTAGTGTTGACACACCTGTTAAGTGTTTAAAGGCAAAGTATAGCCATATTGTCGTGTCAGATTGGATAGTGCTCTATAGAAATATGCATCTAATTGAATAGAAAAAATTTGGAAACTTACCTGATTCGCAGCACCATCACCGTACAATGTCACACAGATCTCATCTTTCCCAAAGTACTTACATGCCAAAGCAATACCAGCTCCCAAAGGAACCTATAATGTATTACATCATGCAATAAGGTAAACCATCTTAAACCACCTCCTTGTTTCTCATAATGGCCAACCAGATGCATCTGGGTTGCTTGCACACACAGGTACAGCCATGTCCCCCTCCTATTGTTTTCCACCAGCTGGTATTTGGGGACATGCTGTCACCAACCCAGAGGTAATACTGAATCTCAAGATTAAGTGCCCTTGATAAATCTGCCTTTTATGAATTCATCTAGTCTTTTTTTTAAAAGTCATTAATAAATGGTCATCATCACATCTTGTGGCAATGATTCCCACATTATGCAATCAGCAATTTAGATTATGTTAGATTTAAGAGAAATACTAAGAGTCAGACACAGCATCCTGCACAGAATTACAAAAGTAATGAAGCACATCTAATGTATAACCAACATTAAAAGCTTTATCCACATCTCAATAAAAAGCTAGTTTGATTAACAAACCTTACCTGGGCGCCAACAATACCATTACCACCATAGAAGTTTTTGGCATACATATGCATTGAGCCACCTTTGCCTTTAGCACAACCACTTATCCGACCTGAAAAGATCAAAATACAGTGTTTTACATTGGGGATCTACTAAAGTTAATATGAACAGTATATGGGGTTTTTTAATATGCCATCCCTCTTTGCTTAATTGGAATTTTAATAAGATTCCATAATTAGTCAAAATCAAAATTCTTTTATTACAAACATTCCAAGGCTAATGGTCACATTTTACATGTTACTGTACCAAGAGAAATGTTTAAATCGTGGTGCCATGATTCTTTAAATACAGAGGAACTTGCAGCAGTCTATGCACGAATGACTAAAATCTTAACCTCTTGGTATAAGGACAGATTACAGCTGTTAACCATTTGAGCAAAGATATACTAGGCAAATTAAGACGGTTTTCATAGGTGAAATGAGATCTGAACCTAACCCTCCTAAATCTGTCTACTGTAGCCTTAGTTCCTTTCCATATTTACATTTCATTTTATTGGACACAAACCTGTGAGTTCAGCAAGAATTTCTCGAACTGGAATACCACGTGTGTATGTAAAGCCATGAGCCCGATAGGCAGTGATCAAATGATCTGTTCGATTTATGGCTGCCTCAAGTCCAACACAGCAAGCTTCCTGTGGTAAAACAAACAGCCTTCAAACAGCATGTATGTTATCATAACGTGTAGGCAGCCAATATACAATTCTATACAAATGTCAAAAATTGAGTTTGCAGAATGGTTCAGCTCTGGGAAATAGATGGTTTGCTTGTTCAGATGAGGTTACACTGTTCCTGAAGGAATAAGTATGTGGCTTGGGGTGTTCATAGAGCCATCGCTGTGATGAGAAATCCAAGTGATTGCAATGAAAAGTAGCATCTTTACTTACCTTTTTGTCAGAAAGCCAACGCCAACTATTTTGAAGAGGGATAGTTTAGCCACTGCAAATAAAGCTTTAGTAAACTCTCTTCAATTATTTTAATATTTGCTTCTTGGAACTGTCTTACATGTGGTCAAGAAGTTACAGTGAGTGCCAGCTGTGGTGCACTACAACACAGCACCATAGTGAAAGAATGGGTATTAATTTGCTACTGGACAGCTCAGAACTTAAGCACACTATGAAAACTTTTTTATGAACTTTGGCCTTTGAGAGTGAGGCTGCCTGTACCCAAACAAATATTGGCCCTTGTTATGTACTTTATTATTATATTTTAGGTGTCTTATATAACATTTGATTATACTTAAATACATTTTTAAAAATATGGTTAGCAAAGACAGTTGCAATGCAGTAATTATTTTATTATAACCAGGTTATGAAAAGTCACTAAAGCTCTGCCAACTTCAGAGACTGTGGCTGGGGAGCAAAATTTCAAGGATACAATATTCATATAAATTAAAAAATGGGAGGAGGGAAGCAACTAGGAAAGAGTCGGAGAATTTAAACTTTCTATTGTATAACCTCTACCATTCAGTGGTAACCAGGCTAAAATAAGAATATTGGCAATAGCCTTTTGATCAAAAAAGTACATTTTCTCCTCCAACTACACGCTAACAAAACTACTGCTGAAGGTAGTTTACAAAATTCTAGCATTTTTAGAAATGTTAAACATTCACCTTTTTCCACTACCTAGGAATTTATTTATAACTGGTAGAGTCGAGACATATTATTCTTGAGAAAAATCTTTTACCTATAATAGCTTTATTAAAATGAAACAGAAAATCTAGTCTAAGAAGTCTGCTGCCCACCTGGCCATCATACAAATGGCAGAAGCCCCGAATAATCTTTTGTTTATACAGCTGGTCTGCTTTCAGTTCCATACGCCGAATAGTCTGCATAGTCTTATAATATTGGAGACCTTGTTCTCGAGTCATTACAGCTGTAGTGGGAGGACCCTCTTCCAAGCGATGGAGGTCATGTTTCTGCAAACAATCAAGATAAGTGGTTATGTCCTATTTTTAAATATTAAACATTTGAGTATCTACATACACTTAATATCTTTGTGCTAAAAGATTTCTGAACAATAAGCCCTGAATAAAATAAATCCCCTAGCAAACTACTCTATCTGCTCCCTGTTGCAAAGTCCAAATAGTCCAGTATTTATTTGATTTATAAACCGTCTCGCTCCATAGGCTTTACGCAGTGTACCAAATCAAAACACAATACAAGGAACAATTTAATAAAATCCAATAAAACTGTGACAACAACAAACAATAATGGTATATTTTAACTTCTCCAGAAACGCCTAAGAGCAGGGGCCACCCTTGCCTGATGGAATGACTTGCGCCCAAGAGGGAAGAAGCCACCCTCCTCCATACCCTCTCCTGCCGTAAGTCTATAGGAGATGCTTCCTTTACTTGGGTTTAGCTGCCATAGTTTAATTGGGATGGGGGTTCTAAGAAACCCAGGCCCTAAGTCATGTAGGCTTTACAGGTAATAATCAGTACCCTGAACTGCACATAGAAACCAGTAATCAATGTGGCTCCTGTTATAGTAGTGTTATTTGACAACACTGATTGAGGCAGCTGCATTTTGTACCAGCTGAACTTTCTGTTTTCAAAGGCAGTGGTATGCAGATCAACTTGTAGTAATGCAGGTGCAAAGTGACAAGGGCATGAGTAACATCTTCAAAGTATTCTGTTCTATGTAAGGCTGTAGCTGACGCACCAGCTGAAACCTGATAAAGGTCTTCTTGGTTGTGTTCTCCACCTGCTCCTCCAGCAGAAGCCATGAATCCAGGAGGACCCTGAGACTTGCAAGCCTGTTTTTTCAGGGGCTGCACAACCCTGTCAAGAGCCAAAGTTGGTATCACCCCTGATAATATGAAAGCAGAACAATGCACACAGCCCTGGAACCATTACATTAACAGCTAGCCATCTTGCCAAGAGATGGCAAATTCCTGGGGTGGAAGAGCAGCAGCAGTGAACTCTTTGGGTTTAGCGCTTTTAAAGCAAGAAAACAAAATCCTCTGCTTAGAAAATAAAGATTGCTTAGGCATATGACAGGTTAATATAATGTGGATCAAGTGGCAAGGAGAAAAACGTCTTTAATATTAGCACTTATGGTCATTTAATAAACTAGCCAATAGTACATTAGAATGGGCAAAAGCAATTATTTAGTTACACAACTTACTAATGTATTTTATTACCAACAGTAGCAGAGATAGCCATTTACAAATACTGGATAAATTCACAGCAGATAGATCAATTAACCACACAACATAAATTATACCAGCTAATTGGAACCATTAGGTTGGTACACAATATGCTGCTGAAGAGCAATTGCTGAAAAATGATAAGCAGAACTGGAGCAAAAATAAAATTATGATTTTCATGCACTGTTAAGTGGCTTCCTGAAAATATCTTTGTAACCATCTTGAACACAGAATATTGAAGTAATCCAGAAGTAGGTATCATGGTGCCTACAGGGGACAATGTATCGTCAGATACTTCCTTTGAACCTCCAAAGCTTTCTTGCCACACCTGATTTTTTAAAAATCATTTTATTTATTTATCTCTTTCCCTCTCAAATAATCATGCAGCAACTTCCTCTAGCATCACATTTGCGCTCACAAAAGTTCCACTGGGGTAACAGAACATCCTGAAAATCTATTGTACTTCCTAGATAGCAATTCCCACTGTAACAGTTTTGTAACTGCCTCAGCTACATAAAAGTAGTCTAACTATCACAATTGGGACTGGCAATTTTGCCACTAAGCAACCCAGTTGTTAAGCAAGACATCACACGACTGCAACAGGCTTATGACTTCCACAGCAGTTGTTAAGTAAATCACCTGTGGTCATTAAGCGAGGCATCACATGACTGTGACTTGCGATTTTATTGCCGGCTTCTCCTTTGACTCTGCTTGTCAGAAGCCAAATGGAGATCATATGACCACAGGACACTGCGACAGTTGTAAACACCCACTGGTTGCAAAGCACCTGAATGTTAATCATGTGACCACAGCAACGCTGCGCTGATCATAAGAGCAAGGACTGGTCATAAAATTACTTTTTCAGCGCCACTGTAACTTTGAACAGTCGCTAAACAGGGCACTTGTTAAGCAAGGACTACCTGTAGTCTGAAATGTCCACGTATACACTGGCCAGAAAGTATGAAACTGATGAAAAGTATAACCTAATTAAATTTAACAGGATTCTTACATTAGAGAGCAGGATGGGCTCCCTGTGGCTCCCCAATTCCCTGTCTGTGACCATTATACTCTCTCATTCCTACAGTGTAATCGTGAAAGATCAGTACTTCACATCAGCCCCAACAATAGGTTTTACACAATTTATAAAAACAAATTTTCAATCCTACCTTCCGTCCAAAAAACTGTGAAGAAAAACTACCCTTGAACCATGTTGCATCCTTTCCAATCTACTCCCTGCAACCTTTGCATCTACCAAAAACATTAAGCCATTTATAGATGCTCACTCCTATTCAAGAGCAGTGTTTTTTAAACTTTAAGGTATATGGACTTCAACTCCCAGAATTCCCCAGTCAGTATTTGACCCAGCCACCATGATCAATATAAAAGATAGAGCATTCACATACAAAACTTGGAAAAGTTCAGTTTTGAGTCTTACTTTAAGCCCAAATAAGTTATTTAACTAAAAAACAAGCTGAATACCTACATTGTGGCTTAGAATCAGCAAATATCTCTATTTAAAGAAAAACAGATAATCAAATAAATTAGTGCTAATTAAATTGCATGTTAAAAATTTAAGATGTTTTGTACTTTTTCCACTAAGTATATTTAAATCCAAGAAATGATGTTTCCCATTTATACTTAAAAATACATATTTGTAATCTTATCATATTTCAATACAGAAGAGTTTGACCACACATCCAGGCTATTCTTTAATACACTGCATAATATTAAAATGTGTTATAATCCATTATTAGCTTTTTAAAATGAAATAATTAAGCTGCTTACCTTAATATCAAATGTAGCCTCATGTGCAAAATCTGCATAATTACGAGAAGTGACAACCACACGGGCAACCTTTCAATAAAAAAGAGAGGGAAGGAACAGAGGTACAGATTGCTGTTAAATTAAAACAGTATTTTTAAAAAAATATTCTTACCTGCTTCAAGATGATTCCAATTCACATCCAACAAAACTTGGACTTTAAACTTCTAAAGATTAGAATGTACAGTACTGTGCAAAAGTTTTAGACAGGTGTGAAAAAATGCTGTAAAGTAAGAATG